CCAATACTTCCATTAAAGCCCAATACGTTCCATGAAAGCCCAATACGGTTTATTAAAGCCCAATACGATTCATGAAAGCACAATACGGTTCATTAAAGACCAATACGGTTCATTAAAGCCCAACGGTTCATAAAAGCCCAACGGTTCATAAAAGCCCAATACTTCCATTAAAGCCCAATACGATGTATTAAAACCCAATATGATCCATTAAAACCCAATACGGTTCATTAAAGCCCAATACGGAAATACGCCGAAAATTGTCCGCCGGAAATTTTAAATTTTTTTAAAAAAATTATTTATTTTTCCGCCGGAAATCCGCCGRAAMATTGTTTATTCTTTTTTTAGATTTTTTTTAATTTTCCGCCAGAAATCCGCCGGAAATTGTTATTTTTTAAAAAATATATATATTTAATTATCCGTCGGAAATCCGCCGGAAAATTGTTAATTTGTTTTTAAAGAATTTTTTTAATTATCCGCCGGAAATCCGCCGGAAATTTTAAATTTTTTAAAAAAATTATWTATTTTTCCGCCGGAAATCCGCCGGAAAATTGTTTATTCTTTTTTTTAGATTTTTTTTAATTGTCCGCCGGAAATCCGCCGGAAATTGTTATTTTTTTTTAAAAATATTTAATTATCCGCCGGAAATCCGCCGGAAAATTGTTAATTTGTTTCTAAAGAATTTTTTTAATTATCCGCCGGAAATCAGCCGGAAATTTTAAATTTTTTAAAAAAATTATTTATTTTTCCGCCGGAAATCCGCCGGAAAATTGTTTATTGTTTTTTTAGAATTTTTTTTAATGGTCCGCCGAAAATCCGCCGGAAATTGTTATATATTTTTAAAAAAATATTTAATTATCCGCCGGAAATCCGCCGGAAAATTGTTAATTTTTTTTAAATAAAAAATTAAAAATCCGTCGGAAATCCGCCGGTAAAATGTTATAATTAGATGTAACCCAATTTTAAACTGAGTACTTAAGAAATCCGCCGGAAATACGCCGGAAATCCGCCGGAAATACGCCGGAAATCCGCCGGAAATACGCCGGAAATCCGCCGGAAATTTTTTAAAGTCAATAAAATGTTGACTTTTTAGTTTCCGCCGGAAATCCGCCGGTAATTTACCGGCGGATTTCGTCCGCCGGAAACGGCGCCGGAAATGGTCAGTTTTCTAGTAGTGTAATACTTATCAATTCCTACCTAATTGTTACTCATGACAATAACATTCTTTAAAAATCTTAAATTTGAAAATATAATTACCTCAATTGATCAGTTCCTTATAATCTCATTACGTTATTTTCTTTATCGATATTTCATATTTAGTGAAACAATTTCTTTCTAAAGTATATATATATATATATATATATATATATATATATATTGTTATATATTTACGTCAAATTTAAGTTGGAAAAATTGTTCTATATTTTGAATTATTTTACAAAACTTCTGATTTTATATAAGTTTTGTTTCCATAAAAATATAACAAGATCTTTAAGCGTGTTAGCCCGTGGACGAATCCGACCCGTTTATAGGGCGAGTATAGGTAAGTTTTCAAACCCGTAAAAACGGGCTTGGTCTTACCATATTAAAACCGTTGGAAAAAAATATAGGTTAAGCCTGGCCTGAGTCCGATCGAAGCCCCCAAACGATCAACTCTACTTTTAGTATATTAATTTCCTTTTTCTTTTGATTACCTGCTAATTTCAACATAACTTGTGATTTTATATAAGTTTTGTTTCCACAAAAATATAACAAGATCTTTAAGTCCGTTAGCCCGTGGACGAGTCCAACCTGTTTATAGTGCGAGTATGGATAAGTTTTCAAACCTGTAAAAAGGGGCTTGGTTTAGGACCGTTGGACAAAAATATAGGTTAAGCCTGGCCCGAGTCCGGCTCAAGCCTGCAAACGATCAACTCTACTTTTAGTATATATTTTTTTGATTACCTGCTAATTTCAACTAGATGCAACTCGTATTTACCAAAACATGAAAGTTGTAAGCCCATTTGTTGTCTTTCCAAAAAATCTTGAATGGCCTTAATCAAAGCTCGGATGAGTGAGATATGGTCGAAACGCCACAACCTCGCAAATCTGTCAAATATCCTTTTTTTTGTGCTTCACTTGTTGTGCAACTTGTTTTACATGATTGTTGTTATCTTTCACTTGTGTGTACAACTTATTCTAGAAAGGGCATATCGATATCATTTTTACCATTATTCTTCTTTACCTAGAGGTCTAATTCCTCATTTTTTGTGATGAATTTTTGTTGGATTTTGATTACCACCTATTTGATGGACTTTATTTCAGTGATCTCGATAGTTTATGGTGTTCCTTTATCATTTCTTGACGTGGGTACTTTAGAATTCTAGTTATTATCATCAATATTTCTTGGTTCTTTTATGTGTTTTTGTTTTTGTATGCTTTGTTATTGAAAACATGATGGATAATGAAGACAAATGTTCGGGTTTTTTTGACATAGGTATGGAATCGTATGATGAATCATTGGAACCAAAAAATCGAGGGTTAGTTAGAAAGAGAATGTGGTAAAAACCTTCTTGGAGTGTTGTCTACAAGAGATGTCCATGAATGGAATCCAAGGTGGTAGCCTTATGATGCACTCATGGAATAATATAGCGGAAATACGTTGTATGGTCTAGACTGAAGAATAAACAGGTAATTTCTATAATCAAACAAACAACACATTCAATCTGTCTGAAGAGGAGTGGAAGGAAAAGACAAAGGTCAATTCTTTTTTTAGTTTTCTAATTTAATTTCCTTATATTTTTCTTTTAGTTATGTTTTTACTTTTTTCTATAAATAGTTGAGTAAATATGTTCACAAGTTGAGGAATGCACCACTACTTTATCCTAATCTTTCTATGCAAATTCTTTTGATGGAGTGGCGGCCATGGGTATAGGGACTTGGGGACCTTGGTATAATCCTCATAACCGTTCGTGTGTTGCTAATGTCTCTAACCCGCCTTTAGTTGTTGTGATCAAGGCTTGGATACCACACAAGCACCTCCTATTTCAGATT